CCAAACCCACCGGCTCGCTGAGCAGGTCTACAACCTCTTCCACAACCCAAGCTACAAATTTTCTTGAAAACTTTAAAAACAAATAGATTCTATGCTAAATTTAATGATATTGACTGGTTAGAAATAGAGTCATACAGCATAGAAAGAGACCTTTCAGTCCAACCAGCCCATAATCCCAAACTAAACTAGTTCCACCTGCCTGCACCTGGCCCACTTGCCTCCAAATCTTTCCTATTCACATACTTACCCAAACGTCTTTTAAACGTTGAGATTGTACCCGCATCCACCACTTCCTCAGGAAGTTCATTCGACACACGAAACACCATCTGTGTAAAAAAATTTGTCCCCATGTCTTCTTTAAATCGCTCTCGTCTCACCTTAAAACATATACCTTTGTCTTGAAATCCACCATCCTCGGGAAAAGACAACTACCATTAACTCTATCTATAGCTCTGGAGGACTGTGACTAGTGGGGTCTCTCAGGCTTTGGTGCTGTACCCATTATCTATATCAATGATTTAGATGAGAACATACAAGCATTATTAGTAAGTTTGCGGATGACACTAAAATAGGTGGTATCGTGGACAGTGAGGAAGGTTATCAGAAATTGCAGCAGGATCTTGATCAGCTGGGCAAGTGCATCGATAAATGGCAAATGAAGTTTAATATAGATAAGCGTGGCATGTTGCATTTTTGAAAGTCAAATCAAGGCAGGAGTTTCATGGTGATTGGTAGGGCCTTAAGGAGTGTAGCGGAACCTTGGTGCACAGTTCTCCGAAAGTGGATTCACAGGTAGACAGGGCAACGAAGGTCGCTTTTGGCACACTGGCCTTTATCAGTCAGGGCATTGAGTATAGAAGTTGGGAAGTTATGCTGCAGTTGTACAGAATGTTGGTAAGGCCACACTCAGAGTATTGTGTTCAGTTTTGGTCACCTTGCTATAGGATGTTATTAAACTGGAAAAGAGTGCAGAACAAACTTATAAAGGATGTTTTCAGGACTCAAGGGACTGAGTATAGGGACAAGTTGGGCAAACTAGGACATTTTTCTTTAGAGCTTAGGAGACTGAGAAGGGATCTTATAGAAGTCTATAAGATCATGAGAAGCGTGGATTGGGTAAATGCACTCAGTCTTTTTCCCAGGTTTGCTGAATTGAGCACTAGAGGTCATCAGTTTAAGGTAAGGGGGAAAGAATACATGGGAACCGGAGGGCTACTTTTTTGTTTTACAGAGGGTAGTACGCATATGGAATAAGCGGCCAGTGGAAGTGGTTGAGGCAGGAACAATAACAACATTTAAAAGGCATTTGGAATGAATACATGGGTAGGAAAGGTTTAGAAGGAAATGGGCCACATGCAGGGAAACAGGGTTAGCATGGATGGACATTTTTGTCGGCATGGACCAGTTTGGGCCAAAGGGCCTGTCTCCATGCTGTAAGACTCTAATTATTTTATAAACTTCTATCAGGTGTCCTCTCAACCTCTTACACTCCAATGAAAAAAAGTCCCAAACTATCCAGCCTTTGTGTAACTCAAGCCTTCCATACCCAGCAACATCCTGGTATCTCTCTGCTGAACCCTCTCCAGCTTGATAATATCTTTCCTATAACTGGGTGACCAGAACTGGACACAGTGTTCAACAAGGGGCCTCACCAATGTCCTGCATAACCTCAACATGACGTCCCAACTCCTATACTCAAAGGACTGAGCAACAAAGGTAAGCGTGCCAAATGCCTTTTTAATCACCGTGTGTAATGGAAACTTTACAGAATTATGTACTGGCATCCCTACATCCCTCTGTTCTGCAACACTACCCAAGGCCCTACCATTAATTATATAAGCCCTACCCTTGTTTGTTGGGCCAAAATGCAATACTTTTATCTAGATTGAACTCCATCTGCCATATTTTAGCCCATTGACCCATTTGATCAAGATCCGTTTGTAATCTTAGAAAACCTTCTTCACTGTCTACTATGCCACCAATTTTGGTGTCATCCACAAACTCACCAACCACGCCTTTTATATTCTCATCCTAATCATTCATATAAACAACAAATAGAAGAGAACCCAGAACCGATCCCTGTGGAACACTGCTGGTCACAGGCCTCCAGCCCAAAAAGCAACCCTCCACCATTACTCTATCTCCTACCATTAACCCATTTACATATTCAATTGGCAAGCTCACCCTGAATCCCATGTGACCTAACTTTAAATGTGAATTTTATTGTCATGTATTTCACAGTAAAACTACAATACAGTGAAAAGCTTTCATTTGTCACCATGATTTGGTGCCATTTAAAAGAATTTAAGAATAAAAGGGAAAAAACAGAAAGGTGTAGCTTAAAGAGAGTCCATCAGTCCTGAGCCAGTTCACCATCAACAATGCCTGTGCCGCCATCCCTCCTCCCTCACCTCACCGCTGTCTACACTGGCACAAAAGTACACACTATGGGTAGTGACAAAGCCATTGCTGATGATACAAAATAGGTGTGAGAGCACATTGTGCTACAGGTCCTAGAGAGTGGATGGCAGATGTAGCTTAAAGAGGAGAAATGTGAGGTCATGCACTTTGGGGTAAAGATCAAAGACAGAAATTCCATAAACACTCAGCATGGAAGGATCTGGGTGTTCTTCTAAATTAAACAAAAAACATGGGCCACAGCAAGTCATTAAGGCGGCAAATGGAATTCTGACCCTTATTGTTAGGGTTTGGAGTTTAAAAACAGGAAAGTATAATTAATACAGTGTGTTGGTGAGGCTGCACTTGGTGTACTGTTACAGTTTGATTCTGGTCTTTAAGACGATCACAGAATCCCTACAGTGTGGATGCAGGCCATTCAGCCCATCAAGTCCACACCAACCTTCCAAAGAGCATCCCACCCAGACTCACCCTTTACCCTTTCTCTGTAACCTTACATTTCCCATGGCTAATCCTTCTGGCCTGCACATCCCTGGACACTAGAGGACAACTTAGCATGGTCCATTCACCCTAATCTGCATATCTTTGGACTGTGGAAGGAAGCCTGAGCACCCAGAGGAAATCCATACAGACACAGGGAAAATGTGCAAACTCCAGTCACCCAAGGGTGGAATCCAACATTGGTCCCTGGTGCTGTAAGGCAGCAGTGCTAACCACTGAGCCACCATGCCGCATAAACTGGCATTGGAAGTTGTTCAAGAGATTCACTAGACTGTTTCCTGGGAATGAAGGTTTTGATTTATGAGGAACAACTAAACAGCTTAGGTCCTTCAGGATTAGTGTTTAAAAGAATGAGGAGTGCTCTTATTGAAACATAAGATTCTGAGGAGGCTTGACAGGGTAGATGTTAAGATTTTCCCACTACTGGGGAGATGAACTAGGAGGCATATGTATAGCATAATGAAACACTCATTTAAAATCAAGAGGTGAAGGAATTTCTTCTGCCACAGGTTAGTTAAAGTCTGGAATTTTCTATCATAGTGGGTTGTGGAGGCTAGATCACAAAGTATTTAAAAAGGAAGCAGATAAATTTTTGAAATTTCAGGGAGTTGAGGGCTCCAATGAGCTGGCATGAAAGAGGAGTTGAAGCCATGGGCAGATTAGTCACAGTCTTGTCTAATAGCAGGGCAGACCTGAGAGGCTGAATGGCTTACGCCTAGTTCTTATGTTGAAATGGAAAGGTTAGATGATGATTCACTAATATACTACCAGAACTAAACACTGCATTTGCTCAGACAGGCTAATGAAATGAAAAGGCCAACTTAAAAAGTTAACACTATCTCTCTACAAGGTGCTGACTGTCCTACCTATTGAAGTAAAGAAAGTGAGGAAGTGTGGTTATTTTTATTGGAAGCAAGCTCATGGTTTTCAAAAATAATACAGTTTGAAAAGACTATTTGCATAGTTTAGCTAAACAGCAACAACAGGCCATTAATTCTACAGTGATATCCTGTCAAAGGAGGAAGTTAGATTATTTATTTTCCCTACAACAGTACTTGGCACATGTTAATTCCTTTGTATAAAAGTTGCTGTGGTGGTGGTGTGGTGGGAGGGGAGCACGGTGGTAATTGTATAATTTCAAAGGACTTAATATGGAGCCAATAAAAAATAGTCAACAGCAAACAGCTCTAGTTGCAGAGCTGGAACCTGCAGTGATTTGTAATATTCTATGACAAAAGGCATCATGGAGATCCCACTTAAAATATACAAATCATTTAATTGCCAGACCTCCACATTGTTAAATCAGTGCAAGTGTAAAAGATATTAGCTCTTTCAGATCATGAAGAATTGCAGCTTGAATGTAGTAACTGATCACCAACATGATAAACATCTTAGAAATAACATTCACTAAAACAGCATTTCGAAATGTAGCCCGTTCATTATACAACAAAGAAAGCGAACACAACATAAGGATTGTGGTTATGTAATTAGATGAGGAAACCAAAGGCTGGATAAGTGATCCAGAGTAACACATTCAAACCCCATTATGCCAGTTTAAGAGTTTGACAATGAAGCTGTTGACTTGTGGTTTATCGATGCTGTCTGGGGAAGAAAATCGGCTGTCTTTTCCTGGTCTGACCGGTGTGTGACTCCAAACCCTGAGCAATGTGGCTGACTCTCAGATGCCCTCCGAAATAGCCAGAGTCAAGCCAGCCAGTTGTCGTGAAGCCAGCAGCCCATGGGCTATTAAGGACAGACAATACATGCTTGCGACACGCATTCGGTGAATAAAAACATTTAAAACCAGTAGTTAGCTTTTAATTGCCCTCTGAAGCTGCCTGACAAGCAATTCAGGGACAGACGATAAATGCCAGTGGTAACCACATCCTGAAACAGAATTTTTAAAGATTGAGGAATCACACAGGTAATGGTAAAACAATGTTTTATTCAATTTTGCTTACCAGAATTATTTTCATTGACACTTGAATCATTAGCAAGTATGTGAATACGTTTTGCAAATGACTACAGCCATTTACTGTTTGCATTTGGAGTAACTAATTAAATAAACTGATTTTTTTTTCTTTAATAAATAGAAACAAGGAAAAGATTAAAAAGGAAATGTGTGAAAAGGGGGAGTGGGGATGTCAGGATAAAGGAGCACGTGGCTACGAATTGTTCAGTGATTTCGGCAAAAATGCCAGTGTGATGAAATGGGCAAACTTCAAATCCATATGGTACTTGCTCTGTACATCATTACATTGTCTTTGTTCTTCTGCTTCATTCAGAGATCAGATTCGCAGACAGTTCTAATTAAAACATCATTACAAAGTGTGCATTTAACAGTTCATGACAGTGGAGCAACTCCATTCAGTGTTTCAAGATTCCACCCACCCGCCAATGTCAAACAGGTGTGTAACACCATTTCAAAATAGGATAGCTAAGCTACACACAGTTGGCTCAGCAATGTTTCTTCCTGCTCAACACAGAGACACATACGATTTTATGTTCCCTCCTGCGTGGATGACCCAAACAAACAATCTCGTGGTTCCTATCTCCCATTCTGTGTCCAGTTCAGTTGACTGTGTCCAGTTTCTTGCTCCTCCCTTGCTCACTGATACAAAATGAACTGAATGAAGTCTACCCCTAAATGAGCCTCAATTTGATGTCGAGATAATCCCTGCACACATGCCTTGAGCATACGTGCAGAACCTTTTATGTAGTGCAGGAAGAGGAGGACAGCTTTGGAAGCATGGTTCCCAGATTAAGGGCTGGGAGGTCTGGAATTGGTTATGTTGCCTCAACGGCCGCTTGCACTCGGGGAAACATGAACTTGGCCAAACCCCATTAGCTGTTGGGTTTGCTCATATGAGCGGACTGGGGAAATGCACGGGTAATGGGAGGACATCAAAGTCACCTTAACTGAAATAAGTGCATAAGATCAAAGGAAACTAAATGATATTGGGCTTGAAAGTCAATCATCAGCCTGTACAGTGAGACATCAAAACTGACGTATTAATATTGTGCAAGACGAGGATGGCTAACTGGAACTGAAGGTTGTCTTCAGGACATTGCTGCAGGTTGACACAGAGATATAGGAAATAAATTTTACATTTTAATCATTGGTTTGAACATGCTTGCATTTAAATATGAAAATATTGGAGATGTGGCAAGGGAAGAGGATCTTTATGAACTGACAGTCATTAAGCTCCCATATCAGGCAATGAAAAGTCTGCTTGCTTTTTTAGTTGAGGAAAGGCAGTGCATTGAGAGGACTGACTCGTTAAGAGATGGGGGCATGTGGGGTGGGCAGTTCGAGGGCATCTGATGAAATCTCTCCAGAGCATGACCAATCTGAGATGGAGATGGAGATGCTGATGCTGTGCAAAAGCCAAGCAACCCGGCTAGGGGAATCTAGAATAGTCTCGGTACAGCAGCTCAGAAACTTTCATTTAGAATCTCTGCAGGTGGAAGCCAGTTAAGGAAAACATACAGCAGGTCAGATTTTGGAATCGAAACCAGTTTGAAACCTTGTGATGTTCAATATGGTACAAACCCAACAGCTGTGCAACACACTCTATCACTAGCACAGGTAGTGCCAGACAGAATTCTGCCCTCAAATTTGGGAAGAATATATATGAAAATCAAGAAAAGTTGATTCACCACCTTGCCTCTTCCACAGTTAACTATCATTGCTGTTCTTGACCATCTCCTGCTTTTGATGGGAGGAAGAGTTTATATTTTTCAATTAGTAATACCATGAATAAAATGAAAGCTCAGGAGTGAAGGTGACTACTGCTTGCTCTTTAACAGTTCATGGGCAGTTTGGATGCGTGCTAGTACCTGATTTGAAATACATGCACCATGGAGCAGGTTTAATTGAAAGGGATAAGACAGGCCATATTTAACAGAAGGGGAAGAGAAGATTAACGCAATTAGTCTTCTCAGTGTTGAATTGAAGCTTCGAGCCCAGTCTTTCTGCTGCGTACAATGCGAAGCTTAAGACACCATTAAGTACAGAAGGACTTTAGGCAACTTGAAGTTCAGAACCAATCCATCAAAAATAAAGCTTTTATTCCATGAAATCAGATCCCATGGTGACCATTCTCTAAAGATCCCAATAAGTGGCACCTTTAACTGTTGGAATAGATATAAAAGAGAAACATCCACTGAAGTATACAGGTGATTTACAGAACTACAGCAAAAATGACAAGAATGCATAGGTGGAAGTAAGACACCAGCTAGTTTTAAATGTGAGGTTTCCTATCCTCTTGTTATTTCAACACAATTTAAGGAGTAATAGGGTGAAGAAAGCATAGCTCAATATCACACCAGTCACCTTTACTTTATTAATTTGGTTGCAATCATAACTTCTATTGAAAGTTCGCGCTCTTATGTAGTCTACTCAAAGTAACAGATGGAGCTTAAAGTTCTAATTGCAATGTCAATGAGGGGAAAGGGTAAAGTTATAGTGCTCTTTCCCTCTCTTTATACCTCGAGTATTTCTGAACATCACACCAGGTTGCCTTTTATTGTTGGTGGTTTTGAGCTATGTTAAACTTCATCATAAACCACACTGAAAGTTCACTATACACTAACAGTGCCTTCTCCACTATTCCAACTCCAGGCATCTTCCCACGGCTTCTTTCAACTAACTGTTAACACGTGGCAAATATTTAGTCACTCCTACGTGGTACCCCCTAGCCATTCTGGAATAGGTCACCAACATACAAAACATCGACCACGGGGACCTAAAAGCCACTGGAAGAACACTCCTTATTCTAATTATTTGAAATCTGCATGAAGACGTTGACACACACTACATCAACCAATGGAACTACCAATCTCTAATCAGCATGTTGCAATTCACAAAAAAACTACGATTTTGGACGTGGGTGACCAGAAGTCAAGGGGAACCATAGTAGTGAAGTAGATTACAAGGGAATATAGGATGTGGTGTTTGAATGATGCAAAGCACAAAAACCTAAGAATGTTATCAATGTTATCACAAATCCTCAAACAAAATGCAAGTTTGTAATGCTTGAACTATGAATTAATGCATCACTTCCCTCCTAATAAAGCCAGGAATGGGCAGCATGCCCCTGTATCTGAACCATCTTATGTGCTGCCAGAACTGAATGATGCAGACAATACTACAATGAGATTACAGGCTTTAATTACAATTGCTGAGAAAATGACTCCATCCTAACAATGTCCTTGCTGCTCAACTTATTTGTTGACAGCAGCTTTAACTGTAGGAGATAGTTATTGGTTACATTTGCTTCGTATCCAAGCATTATGCTATGAATGGTTGGAAGGGGGCATTTTGAAAAGGGGCAAATTTCTGCGAATAGGCTCTTGAAGTATATGCAGAATGAACATGGATCGTACTCGGCTGGTTAAAGCAAGGAGGTGTCAGTGCACAGTTTCAAGCATGTGTAAAGCCGAGCTCAAATATCATCTCTGGTGCTGGAAGTCTGGACTGGGACTGAATACCAATTTGAGCACCAGTTTTCCCAGGGGATATTGTCAGCATAAGTTACCAGTCACTCTAATTAGTCACCAGCGGACAATTCAAAGTATCAATGAATCAATCAGCACATTAAAGTGACGGGTGAGGTTTTTAAGATATGAAAATAAAATATGCTCCCACAACAAAACTGGCAAAATTAAAAAAACAGAAAAAGCTATGGTGGGGTATTGTGAAGAGATACCGAACCATTTAAAAATCATGAGACGGTCCACTGAAGAAATGGCCCTGGTTATGGAAATACAACTGTCAAAGTAAAGATTCAGTATCTTATTGATTTAAATTCTCTGAAAAATTACTGTGTGACCAGGAGACCTCATGTATCCATGTCACAAAATAGGAATCAAGAGTCATGGCGTTTGCAAAGACGAGGAACACATTAGCACCTTAGTATGTCACTGCCTCATAGAATGAGAACATAGAGACAGTTACTATTTTAACCTTTCCCACCCGATTTGCTCATATCATCAGGTTGGAGCTTGTGTATCGTGCAGCATTTCATCACAAATGATTTCTAGGGAAACCCTGAGCACCAATCTGCTCAGCCAACTATCAGATAAAACAATGTTATGCATATTTAAATTAGAGCCGTACCAACAGTGTGCATCAATACAACATTAAAAGGTTATAGTACTGACGAAACTGAAATAAACGCATTCATAATATCTATATTTTTAATGCCGTGTTTACCGGTCTTTCTGAAAAATTGTCAATCAATGCTCTGTTGAATGGCCACTCTTTGCAATGCTACACTATGATCACAGGGGCCTACAAGCAGCATTTCAGTTACTCTACTGTGGGTTTTTGTTGAGGGGGGCTCAGGTGGGTGTGAGAAGCAGAAAGAAAGCCTTCACTCTCCCAGAGAACCAGGTTGTTTTAGTTTAACGTGGTCTTCTGACATGCAGCAAGGAGGCAAGGACAACCCATCTCCCTCAGGAACACAAAACACTGATTTCATAGCTCATTTCCCAACTCGTGCAAAGGGCATACTGCTGCAACAAGTAGGCTCCCAAAGGCAGTGGTCGGACAGGGAAACTGCAATACACATTACGCTCTGGGCAATAACATCAGCATTACAACTAAAAGAAAGTGTCAGTGGGAAATGAGCTAGAAGAGATTCCAGTTCAAAGACTGCACAACGAGTTAATACTTGAATGCAATAATTTGTTTAATTCTTTGCAATGGGTCAACGTTTGGGTCACCAAATGCTTTGTTCACTTATCCTCTGGATCTTCAGTGACTTATATTTTAGCTTTATTCTTAAAGCGAGTGGGAAGAAGGGAGAAAAAAATCTCAGACTGATTGAATTCTTTGTATGAAGTAATGGGAGCTATTAATTTTAACTGAAAAATGTCTTTGTTATCTTAGCAAGCTTACTCCAGTGCAACTTAATCCCAGCTGCTACTGCATTCAGTGCAGATCAAATCCAACTGGGCTACATAAGTAACTTTTAAAATTAATTATTCCTTCAATAATTTTAACAGTGCCAGAAAAATAGTGATTGCTTTTCTCATCTATACTGGTATTCTTTGAACAAGTCCAAAACAGGTAGGAAGCAGTGCTGAACTTAGGGCCACCTGGACAACAGGTAGAGACATAGGTAAGCTAGAGAAGCAGAAGAACAGTTTCCTACAGCTGGTGTGCCAAAATGTAAGTGCCCACACTATAAAATACTGGGTCTATTAAACAACATTTCACAAGTTCAATTCAGAATAAACTGAAGATTTTTTTGTAAGTGAAGGATTGGAAGGGAAATGGTGAGGAGCTCAAAGTCAATGAATAACCAACCATCATTCACTTTTAAGTTCTAAATAATCAGTTCAGAGTATTTTCCCTGATTTAGTTTGTAGGCAGATGAAGGCTGTGAAGGATAGAAATTCAGACTGAAATCAACAGCTAAACTGTACCTGAGCCTGCACAATGTGTTATCAAAAAAATAGCAAAAATAGGCAGTATATGGCAACTTAAATTCAACCATACGCACTTGATATTTTGAGCTGCTCAGTCAGGACACTGTCACTCTCAGCAAAATGGTTTCTGCCTAGTTGGATTTTAACTTGCGGCACTTCCAGCAATTTTTTTTAAACCCCAGCCACCCCCCATTACAATGAATCGATTTCAGGAATGCAGCTTTAACATCATACTTATCTAAACTGTTCGATTATTCCAGGACATCTCATCAAAAAGCATATGGCAAGCTCCCAATGTGAGGAGAAAATTGAAGGATTCAGAAATTTCACATCATTTCAAAACAACTCTATCCCGTAACATCATTGCACATATTCTGTTTGGCAAACATGGGAGGTCACAATCTCAGTTCCAGTAAAAAGGGGATTCACTCCCTGTTTTCCACCCCTCCAAGGAGGGATCAAATTCTGCAGTTATCGGGAAAGGACTGATTCTATTTGGTTGGGAAGGATGCCAGCTTGCAGGTCTGATGGAGTATCATGAGAGGGTGATGCAAACAGGCAGCCATGGATGGCATGAAGTCAATCCACTAAGCCATGATCTACGTAAACTGCCCCATCTCATCTCTTATGTGAGTGGACCTCCATCTGGGACCCCAGCATTTACACTGCATCAGGTTTTGATCCTCATCTGCTTTCTCCCCATCTCACCATGAGAATAGCAACAATGTTGATAACTTCATTGTTACAAATCATCTCAAAAAGAAGTGCAATTTGCTCTTCCACTCCAGTTTATGTCTACATTTTGCCTCAGTATTCACGGTGGGCAGCATGGTCTCATTTCTCAGAGCCCTTACGATGCCGACGGAAACTTGAGACATTCTCATTCAGTGCACAGATCCTCCTAGAGAACTCCTCAAATCCTTCAGCATCGAGCTCAGCCAAAACTTGGTCATCACTCTCTACTGCCACGGCGTGATCAACAGGAATGCAGAATCCTTCCAGCTGCTCATCTGAACTGAAGCCAGTGGCTTCCATGCCTATGATCTCCTCGGCCCGCTCAACAGAGCAGAAGACGCTGCCACCCATGGAGTGGCTTAAGTCACCTGTTGGTATATTACTGGTGCTGCCTGTATGCACACTGAGCGTAGTCATTCCATTCACCTCAGATGGCTGCTCAGTGATAACCTCTTGTGGCTGGACCGTTTCATAAACCACGCCATTTTCATTGCTATGCATTCCATTCTCCCGATCTCCACCTTTAAAGGAATCATCTGAAACTTCCAATGCTGAAGAAGTATGCACTTTGCTATCACCTTCTGGTTGTGCCTCAAGAGTTACAGCATGAGCTATTGCTGTGTTGTAGCTTGGGGGCTGATCTTGTTCAGAGTTTCCATGTGACTGTCTCCAAGCCCTTTCTGGAGAAGCTGCCTCTCTACTGTGGAAAGCTGTATCTGATCCTGCAGATGTGCTGGTCGCGTATCTTCGAGGTACAGGAATTGCACTAGATGGAGGTCGATCGCTTCAAAGAGGGGAACAAAAGAACCAATTAATTTGGAATACATAAGATCTACCAATCATATAATTTTGCTACATTATCACAACAATAACTTGCATTTACAGAGCAGTTTCAAAAGCATCTTAAAGCACTTCACAGGAGCAAAGCTGAACGATATACTAGGAAATATTAAGCCACAGTTGGTCAGAGGTAGGTTTTAAGAAGCACTTTAAGATGAAAGGAAGATACAGAGACAGAGCATTAGACAGGAAATTCTACAGCTTAGGGCCCGAGTTACTGAAGACATGGGGTCCCATGTTGAAGCAATCAAGGACAGGGATGTTCAAGAAGGTATAACTGATGGACCTCAGAGGTCTTGGAAGATTCTGGGGCTGGGGGTGGCAAGATTGTGAAGAGATTTGAAAGCAAGGATGAGAATGTTAAAAATCAGCAGGTTACTAGATTAGGGAGCATAATGCTCCTGTGTAAATGGGTTTTTTTTGGCCATTAACAGCTATGTTTTGCATGCACAGTCATTTCTATCCATCATCTTGAAAACATTAATTCATTTGAGTACACTTAAAACAAACGTTAGGCTATTCAAAAACAACTAACTTCACTACACCGTTGTTGCACAACAACAGTAGTCATTTTCCTCCACAAAACAAATAACAACGTCAAGTGAAAACCAAAAGAACTGCAGATTCTGTACATCAGGAGCAAAAACAGAAGTTGCTGTAAAAGCTCAGCAGGTCTGGCAGCATCTGTGAAGAAAAAAATCAGTTAACATTTTGAGTCCAGTGACCCTTCCTCAGAACAATGTCAAGTATATGCTTTCTTGCATTCCAGTAAGCGAATTATGTGCATGGTTATCCCAGATGGGTAGTGACAAGATGAAAAGTTGGAAGTATTACAAGGACTTTCTCTATCTCATGAATTCCAGATGATTTCCACTTCCACGGCAGTGCTTTGGTCATCTCATTTAGACAAGCATTTGAGGGAGAAATGAATATAGATTGTTAAAAAATTCAATTTATTCGATGAGAAAAGGTGGAAGGAGCTCAAGGGGAACATGACGCCTTGAGTATTATGTGCAGTTTTGGTCTCCTGGTCTGAAGGAGTACATTGTTTCTATTGAAGGAGTCCAGCAAAGGTTCATCAGACCGATTTCCAGGATGGCAGGACTGACGTTTGAAGAAAGACTGGATCAACTGGGCTTGTACTCACTGGAGTCCAGAACTAGGGGTCAAGGTCCAAGAATAAGGGGTAGGCCATTCAGGACTGAGAGGACGACAAAATTTCTTCACTCTGAATGGTGAACTTGTGGAATTCTCTCTCTCAAAAAGCTGTTGGGGCCAGTTCATTAGATACATTCAAGAGGGAGCTGGATGGGCCCGTTGAGGCTAAAGGGATCAAGGGACATGGAGATAAAACGAGAATGGGATACTGAAATCGCATGATCAACCATGATCATGCTGAATGATGGCACAGACTCAAAGAGCCGAACGGCTTACTCTTGGGCCTATTTTCTATGTTTCTATAAACTCCAGTACAAACTGACTGGATCTGTTTGTGCTCTACAATCCACACAGCCCTATGCATAGAAACAAAAAAATAATAGTAGACGACCCATTTGGACCTTTGAGCCTGTTCTGCCATTCAATATGGTCACAGCTGGTCATCTAACTCTATACCCTGGTCCCACTTTTTCCCAAACCTTTTGATCCCCTTAACCCCAAGAACTATATCTATTTCCTTCTTGAAAACATTCAGTGTTCTGGCCTCAATCCTTTTCTGTACCAAAGGTTCACCATTGTTTCGGTGAAGAAATTTCTCATCAGTCCTAAATGGCTCACCCTGTATGCTTAAGACTTTGGTCCCTGGTTCTAGACGCTGTAGTCATCCGGAAATCCATCCTTCTTTTACCCTGTCTTGTCCTGTTAGAATCTTACATGTTTCTACGAGATTATCCCTCATTATTCTCAACACCAGTGAATATGGTTCTAACCGACCCAGCTCTCTTCACGTCAGTCCTCTCACTCCAGGACTCACTCTTGTAGTGACATGTCTCAATTAAACATTTACAAGTATTGTAAGGGGATTTCTCTATCTACTATCACTGCCCAGCAAGAGGGGAAACCTTAGAAATCCCACAGGCTGGGAAATTACACAGAAAATCACAGATAAAGCCTAGTAGAAACCAGCACAAGCAGAAAATCTGAAATCTATTCCTGGGCCACATTCATTATTTCTACAAATAGGTTTAGCCTGCTTCATTTTTAATGTAGGTTTACCCTCTTCTTCCACTTTTTCCTTTCTCAAGATACAGGGAAACACAATCAATGATAACAGAGTGCAGTTTAGCCAGGTATTTTTGGATGGGAATGGATGGTGGAGGTGCACTGAAGTTCACTATGATTTGCTGAATGTTGGCATCTCAAGCAAAAAAAAAATGGTTGCTCAGTTGATCTTGTTCTGATATTTGTTGAAGTGGCTGAATTTATTCACATCAGGAAATGACTCTCATCCATCTTCGTCTCCCCACAAAGATCTTCAAATATTTAAGCTGGTCAGTGACTCCAGGCTAGCAGATGCCTTACTAAAAACCATGTAGACAACACGTACTACACTACTCTGATCAATTCTCCTTGTTATTTCCCAAAAACTACATTGTTATTAAGAGACAACCTTCTCTTAACAAGAGGCTTACTTTCCTTGACTAATTCGTGCCCAAGTGACAGTTTACCCTGTATCAGATTTAATCCAATATTTTGTCAATCACTAAGTCAGACTGACTCGCTTACAATTATTTGGCCTATACATTGTTTAAAAAGGGTATGAAGTATAATGTTTACAGACCTCCAACCCACTGGAATGTTTCCTTTATATAGTGAGGAATGCTCAAAAGAATTCTAACAGATTTGTCAGGCATGAAGAAGCTGTACTGACTCAGCCCTGTTTTACCACAAAGATTTCCAAGTACTCCACAACCTCATCCTCAATAATGGATTCTAAAGTCTTACCAAAGACCATGGTCAGACTAACCAGCCTGTGTTCTGCCTCCCTCCCTTCTTAAACAGGGTGTTACATTAGCCATTTTCCAGTCCTCTGTGACCCTCCCGGACTCCAGTGATTCCTGAAAGATCACCAGCAATACCTCTACAATCTCGTCAGCTATTTGCTTCAGAACCCTGAGCTGTAGTCCATCCGGTCTGGGTGATTTATCTACCTTCTGCCCTTTCAGCTTCCCCAGCACCTTCTCCTTCGTGTTGGCCACTACACTCACCTCTTACCCCCGACTCTCAAAGTTCTGGTATGCTGCTGGTGTTGACCACTGTGAAAACTGATGCAAAGTAACTGCTCAGTTCCTCTGCCATTTCTCCAGTCTCATTTTCCAGTGGTCTAAAGTTCACTTTTGTTTCTCTCTTACCTTTTGGATAGTTAAAATCTCTTTTAATCTTCTTTTATATTAATAGTTAATTTATGCTCATATTTCATCTTCTGCCCCCATATTGCTCTTTTAGTTTTCCTCTGCTGACTTTTAAAAGTTTCCAATCCTCTGGCTTCCCACTAACCTTCACCATACCATATGCTTTCTCTTTTGCTTTTACACTGTCCCTGACTTCCCTTATCTGCCATGGTTGCCTCATCCTCTGCTTATTTTGTTTCTTCTTCCTTAGAATGAATTTCTGATGTGTCCCCTGAATTAGCCCCCGAAACTCGTGCCATTGCTGCTCCACCATCTTCCTCGCTAGGCTTCCCTTCCGATCAACTCTGGTCAGCTTCTCCCTCAAGTCTTCATAGTTACCTTCACGTTACATCATGAGGATATTCACCCTGGACCTTTCAAGTGTATACAGTCTGGCTTGGAGGCATAAACCTTCAAATCATTTTGTATCCTAGTGTGGTAACCTGCAAGGCTATGGACCAGCTGCTGGAAGATGGGATTGGAATGAACAGCTACTCATTTATTTGGCATAGACAATGAGCTGAATGGCTTCTCCTTGCGCTGTAACTTTTATACGGCTCTGGTATGTTGAGTGCACGCCTTGAACTGCAGTAACTCCAAATCAAAATTTAACATACTTGGCAAATATTCCTCCTCCAAGAGCAATGTTTAATCCAAAACAAGGTCTCTGAATACACATCTGAACTACATTTGCTCAGAAGATCATTATTCAAACTGAGCATTTGTTGGCACTTCTTGGCACAATCTTTAGTCAAGGGCTTTGACGGAAAGTGTATTATTTTAGTTTCTTGTTTAGTGGTCTACACAACTTCAAAACTGAGACAAAAGCTCAGTATCATTTTTGTAAAATATGCATACACATGAACTGCTACCTCAGATCGAACACACCAGAATCAAGACTTGTAATCTCCCACTAACATGCACGAGAAGATTGTCTGTCTTTACTTTTTTCATGGCACCAGTAACTGTCAAAAATATATTGCCCATCTTTAACCATCCTCGAGAGGGTAGTGCCTTGCTACCATCTTGAGCTACTACAGCCTGTGCAGTGAAGTACACCCACACTGCAGTTAACAGCGGAGTTCAAGGATTTTGATCCTGTGATAACGAAGGGACACCAATATAATTCCAAGACAGGATGGTGTGGGGCTTAGACGGGAACTTGCAGGTGGTGTTCTATTGTATCTACCATACTTGTCCTTCGAGGTGCTGAGGTCAGGGGAAGATGCTGTGGAAGGAGCCTCGAGATTTGCAGCAAAAAACATTTGGCAAAATGCAGCCACAGTGGAATGGTGGCAGGAGGTCCTGAATGCAATGGAGGGATTCATGTTGACCAGGTTACCAGAATATCCCAGTTCTTAAAACAAATTGTCATAGAACCTTGTTCTTTGATCAGAGGGAACAGAGTGGATTTTCTCATTCCAGCGCAAAAACCCACCATTTCTGAAGTTGTAGAATTTACTCAGTCCTATGCTTGGAGTATCAGCCTAGGTTTCGTGCGGAGGTATCTGATGTAAGATTAGAACCTCCAACATTATGATTGAGAGGTGAGAGTACTACCATTGAGCTAAGGCCAACACAATGAGAAGTATTAAAGCCTTGCTGTAAACAATCAAACTTATCAGGTTTCGTGTTTTATAAATGCACATTATTGCATACTGGTACACAATACTAAATAGCTTCAGTTACTGCACAAACTCCAACATTGCATTTTTATGGAATACAGCATAGAAGCTGATTGAACAGACAAATTGAACAACATAGACCAACTCTTCACTGAAGCCTGCACTATTATTTAAGTACAGATGAGGGGCATTAAACACCAATATTATGTAACCAAATCTTAAAGGCAACACATTGGTTTTATAAAAGTATGAATTCTAATGATAATTCAGGTGTTAAACTGAGAAACAAGGCAAAGTAACATGTAAATGCAGTTACTGTCACAAAGAGGCGGTGTAGGGTTCAGGCAACTTGCCCACTGGAAATTCTCAACCTCATATCAGACCGCAACATACCAAGGTCTACCACCTTTTGTGGCAAGGGATGGTCAACGAGGCAAAGGGGGGAAAACTGAAGTTAATATTGAACCACGCTGTTTCAACTGAGTGGTATGAATAAATACTGTTGCCAAAGAAGTGGTTTCAGGTTTCCTACTTAGTCATACATAAAAATTGTTTTGTGATAACATTCACCGAGAAAAAATCTCCCCAGGAGAAATGATAATAACTCTCGTTTACTAAGACAATGTGCGAAAGTACAGGAAACTTAAGGGAATGGCCTTTTTCAGGAACTAGTTCTCCTATTAAAAATAAGCAGGCAGCTTCTCCAGTAATAAACTATAATGTACATTAATCCCTGATCTTAATGGGATCTTGCTGTATGCAAACTAACTATTGCACCTATCTACAGAATAGTCTGTGCACTTCAAAGCCAGTCATTGCTTGTGAAGTGCTTTGAGACGTTTGAGAGATGTGATAAAGTACCGTATCAATGCAAAGCTATCTAACATTCAGAATCAAGTTTTTCAACCCCGCATTTGCCAGTTCCCTACCTATTTAAACAAATATTGACAAAACACTGAAACAATTCGGGAAGCATTAAAAGAAAGAGGCATTGTGCACTTAATAAGGTTTTCAGTATAAAAGAACAATCTGCAATAGGCTGTCATCTATTAGTAAACAGTTCATGCATTCCATTAAACTCTTAAAGAGACAACAGTAATATGGACAAGAGAAAGTGAAGCACAAGATCATTTAATTTATTGCTTCACAACTGCAGACGACAGAAAGCTGGATGGGAGGGTGAACTATGAAGATGCAACAGAGGTCCTTCAGTGTAATTTCGACAAGTTGAGTAAGGGGGCAAAACATAGCAGGTGTAGTATAATGTGGATAAATGTGAAGTTATCCACTCTGGTAGAAAGAGCAGGAAGGCAGGTTATCTGAACGGCAATGGATTAGGATAGGGGTAGATGCAACAAGACGCTATTGTCCTTGTACACTTGCTATTGAAAGTAAGCGTGCAGGTGCAACAGATGGGGAAGGTGAAAAACGGTATGTTGTCCTTCACAGCGAGACGAGGAGTACAGGAGCAGGGATGTCTTGCTGCAATTGCTCAGGCCTTGGTGAGACCACACTTGGAGTACTGTGCATAGTTTTGGTCTCCTTTGCCGAGGAAGAACGTTCTTGCTATAGAGGAAGTGCAATGACAGTTTACCTGACTGATTTCTGGGACGGTGAGTCTCGTGGCATGGGAGTGTCATTGGCTGGGCCACCATTTATTACCTGTGCTGAGTTGCCCTTGAGATGGTGGTGGTGAGATGCCTTTTGGAATTGCTGCAATCTATGCACTGTAGATAGACCCACAATGTCCTTAGGGAGGGAATTTCATGATTTTGACACAGGGATGCTGAAGGAACAGCGATACATTTCCAAGTCTGGATGGTGAGTGGCTTGGAGGGGAATTTGCAGGTGCCCATGCTGCCCTTGTCCTTCAAGATGGAAGTAGTCATGGGCTTGAAGATGAAATGTGAAGACAGACTGGATTATTTAGTACTTTATTCACTGGAGTTTAGAAGAATGAGGGAAATCTCAGAAATCTACAAAATTTTAACAGGATTAGACAGGATAAATGCAGGAAGAATGCTCCCGATGCCCAGGGAATCTAGAACCACGGTTCACAGACTAAGGACATGGGGTAGATCATTTAAAAAAGTGAGATAAATGTGGTGAGCCTGTGAAATTTTCTGCAATGGAAATTGGTCAAGGCCAAAACATCGAACTCTTTCATGGAAGAAAGTGATGTAGCTCTTTGGGCTAAGGGGATCAAAAGGTATTGGGGAAAGCAGGAATAGGGGACTGAGTTGGATGATCAGCCATGATCATATCAAATGATGGAGCAGGCTGAATGGCTCAAATAGCCTAGTCCTCCTCCTACTGTCTATATTTCTAATTTTTTCACATTTCCAGTACTAGGCATGGCAGAGCAGAGGTAAATTGTGCAACTTGCAAAAGAAGGCGGCAGAGCAGACACAAATAGAGAGTTAGGGCTGATAGAAAACAGAGACACTTGGAATGGACAATAGGTACTCCTGGACACTGGCAGTTCACCTACCAGTGGACATGACAGCAATGAGCATCAATGTACGTATCAAGACAGACTTTGTGTGTGTATCTCTGCACTAACACAAAGGAAGTTTCTGCTTTGTGAGACAGCTGGACAAGGTGAAGCATTAAACAATGCAGAGTTAAAACCGCAGAGTTTTTACAAGGGAGAGAAACCACTTTTGATCCATCTGCTTATGCTAATTTATGCTCCACAGGAGCCTCCCCTCTCATCTTACTTCACCTCACCCCATCGACATACCTCTAGTACTTGATAAAGTTTCCCCTCAAATGAATCTATACTACCACCACCAGGAAAAGAAAACTAGAATCAAGGAGGAAATTTATAGCAGAGCTTTTCTATGCAAAGTGAGAGAGTTTTGCAATAGGTTGTGAAGAGACAAGTTAGATGCAAGGCTGCCAAAGTCCCAGAGGACCATGGGGTTGCTCTCATTAGACAAATGCGGCTGGTGGTGGTTTAACCAGAGAATCACAATGCCTCAAGCAAGGAGGGAGGTTGAGAAAGCAGGACCTTCTCAGTGAAGTCAACAAGGTGCAGAGCTGGATGAACACAGCAGGCCAAGCAGCATCATAGGAGCAGAGAGGCTGACGTTTCGGGCCTAGACCCTTCCTCAGAAAAGGGCTCCTATGATGCTGCTTGGCCTGCTGTGTTCATCCAGCTCTGCACCTTGTTGTCTCGGATTCTCCAGCATCTGCAGTTCCTACTATCTCACCCTCACAGTGAACTCAGCTTGTACAGAAATGGAATCTGCTCTGTTAGTGTCACTCTGCATTGCCAACATGTTCTCCAGCCAACTGAGCTAACTGACCCCCATAAGTTTGATGTAGACCACCACCAAAGGGCCAAGAGTCATCAAATAGGTTACCAGGGACAGCAACTGATACATATAGTTCAAAATGGTAAATTGTTATCTTTGTGAAAAGAGAAGGAATTAAGGGTAAAAAGGTGAGCTTGATCTGTTAACTAAAAAGGATATGTTTGCTGAGCATATTGACCATTTACTAGTTTTATAACTGTATTACCTTCTTCAACCAGATTTTGATTTTAATGTGCCAAGCTGAATTTAATACCAAATGTTTAAACCCAATTTACCTTCAACAAGATTTAACTGCAACGTCTGGATACTTACCACCTCACCATTAGCCCTTGTTCCATGAAGCTTTTCAGGTTAGGCAATGTCTGTCGGAGATCTGGTGTGGATAGGCCATGCTGATATCTTAGCTGTAAATGCAAAGAGAAGGCTTATTATTTTCTTACTGTTGTAGCCTTCAACCATGCATTTTTCCCCAAATACAATTATACAAAGGCCAGGCACAGAGTCATTTATGGGCTCTTCCACGTGAAATCCCCTTCAAATGCAATAGGGTTACAGCTAGGGCTATCACAATGCTTATGGGCCAGTATTAGAAATATCAGAAAAAGGCAAAAAAATTCATATTATTGTCAATAGATCATATATTCAAAGTTCTGTTTCATTCTCCAGTGGGAATTAAGTTTTTGATCATTCACAACTACAATATGAAATGTTGTACAGATTAGTTTACAAATCAAAGGAGGCCATGGGCAAACTCTCATGGAACTCTGATCAGACTGTACCTCCGGCATGGTATCCAGTCTGGTCACTGAAACAGAAGGAAGACATTCAAGTACTCGAAGAGGTGCACAAACAAGATCCTTAATGACAGAAGTTTGAATTAGAGTGGAAAAAATTTGGGTGTTTTCAACTGTGAAATTGAGAGTTGCAAAAACTGAGCAACCCAAAAGATTAAGCCAAAGTAAATTGTGAGAAGATGACAACAAAATTTCAAGCAAGTTTTTATTTGCCAAGAGTAATTAATAGATGGAACAGCATCCTGGATAGAACAGTGAAGTAGAAAACCTAATTCGTTAAAAGGGGACCCATTTCTGTTCTGTTTTTCATGATATCAAATGACTCAATGCTTCACAGTCAAAGTTTCGTATTCACTGTTGTAATGCAGGAAATGCTGCATTTTATTTGAGCACAGCAAGATCCCACAGTATAGCTGGTAACCCTATAGCCTTGTGGATGAAGTAAGAAGGAGCAAATGATCTTCTTCACTTTCTTAAATGCATTCGTGGAACGTATGCATTGCCAGCAAGTCTGGTATTTATTGCCGCATCCCAAGCAGCTCTCAAAAAGGTGGCGACACCTTCTCAAATACAATGGTGTGGTTTGTGAGGCTATTTCAGAGGATAGTTGACTCATTTAACGTACAACAGTTGGCTAATAGAGGCAACCGAAACAGATTAGCGATCTTGACATTGATAGTTGAAGATGAGGGCTCTTGTAGTGCACTGGTAATGTTCCCAACTCTGAGCTAAGAGGCCTGGGTTTAGGTCCCACCTGCTCCAGAGGTGTGTAATAACATCTTTGAACAAGTTGACTAGAAAATATTCTAACCTTGATAGTTGAAGGTATATTATACCCGAGTGTTGACTGGCATTGCGTACTTACATTTTGATTTGAGCTAGGTTCCATGCAACTGAACCCTCTACCTCACAGCTCATCACACTGGCACGTGACTGGGGAAAGAGGGAGCTGCCATGAATGCCATGATCCTACTGAATGGTGGAGCAGACTTGAATCTTTGAGCCACACATTTATTGCCTTAATCTTATTGACTCTGTGCCAATTACTTTGTGGGTCAGGTAGTAATCAAGAGATTGTCACCATTTTCGCTCTGCTTTTTAAATTTAGCCCCTAACTGCTCATGTTCATTCAGCAGAACCTTTTTCCTCTTTCTACCTATACTGTTGGTATATGTGTGATCCATGATAATCATAGAATAGAATCCCTACAGTGTGGAAACAAGCCCTTCAGCTCAACAAGTCCACACCGACACTCAGAGCATCCCACCCAGACCCAGACTGGATCTTCCCCTTCCCACTCCAAGTTCCTTTTCAACCCAGATGAAATATCCTGAACCTGGGCAGTGGGCAGGTAACATAGCCTTCAGGACTCTTGATCCTGGCCACAGAGAACAGTGTCTATTACCTTAGCGAAAAAAACCAAAAGAACTGCAGATGCTGTAAATCAGAAACAAAAACTGAAATTGCTGGAAAAGCTCAGTTCCGAGGAAGGGTTACTGAACACGAAATGTTAACTGATTTCACTGCACTGACGCTGCCAGGCCTGCTGAGCTTTTGCAGCAATCTGTTTTTGTGTCTACTACCTTAACCCTACTATCACCAATTATGACATCTCTCTTTATTCTTCCAACTTCAATGGCTGCCTGTACCATGATGCTATGGTCAGTTTGCTTATCCTCTCTAAGTCCCCACAGGAAGCAATTATATCTGTGCAGAAGATGGAGTGAAGAGTCATCACTCTGGCAAGTTCAGATACCATCTGTGGGATAACACTACTCGAAGCCAGTTTTGTTTGAATTCTTCTGCTGCTGAACATACGTCAAAATTGGCCACGAGTTAAGAGTGCACCAAAAATTTTCATGACAGGTCCTCAAACTGTGCCAAAGCCAGCAAATCACAGTAATTGTAGTTATGTGTTACCCAGGCAAACGCAGTACCTAACTTCTGCATCGCAAGGTACCACAAACAGCATTAACACAACTGAAACAGATTAATGCCCTTGTTGGTAGTTGAAGGTACCTAATACTTGTCCTGTACGTACACTTAGGACCTCTCACCATTAGCCAAAGCAGAATCAGCAACATGCCCTCTGAGCAAACACAAGCTCCAAAGGACGGCCTTCCATTTATCACAGCTCTTAATATACTAATGCACAGTTTATGACTCCCTTAATAACAGTTTAGAAAAATCGCCTCTTCTAATAACTTGTCTCTCTTTGTAATGCACTTTTCTTATGGCCCCCAAAGGCAATATAATTGAGAGCAGCTATTGTATTGGAGTTATTTTAAACTACAATAGTTCAAACTTCTGGCAAAAAGATGCGTAATTTCAGAGTCGAAGTCTTCAAAAAGTCCTTTGAGTAGTGAAGGTCGGGTAATGCGTAACATTGCTGCTTTCTAAATTTCAGAGCTAGAGTGGCTAAAACAGCCAAACATCTGCAACTAAACACAAGCTGCATAATTGGCACAAACACAACCTCAACAGGTTGGGTATAGTTTACAAAAATCTAATTCAAATTGGAATAGGCATGCCATCACATGAGTGGCCAACTGTGAGGATTGCCCCTCTGGGCAGATGTCCTGCTTATACTAAAGCGTTTGGTTTGAAAACTTTCGGTGTTAAATTGTGATAAGAGTGAACATTTTAAAGCCCACGTAGGCAGTGGTCACAGTACAATTAAATAAATATTGTTAAGACTTTGAAATGAAAATGAAGACATGTTTTTGAAAATCTGAAATTCGATGACCTTCTGTATTGGCTGTAAGCAAGGAACCCAACTCCCGAGTCAGTATGGCATTTGAGACTGGCCGAAGGCAAAGCAACTGCCCGCATTGCTATAAAAGTCACAGGATTGTAAAGTACTTGCATGTTAATATTGACACATTTCAACCAGATGTTATAGGAATTAGGTGTGCTAGCATCTGAAGTGGTTAAAGTTTCTGATCTAGTGGTTTCTGAAAATGTTTTATCCGGGTCCCCTTCTCATCGAACCCACCCCTAAGTTATTATACAATGATACTCAATGCTGTTGTATATAAAGTGTTGTTTCAACAATGCTTTTAAAGAGGTGCTTGTGCATGTTTTCCAGTGCAGAGTTTGGCTAACAGGAACAGAGAGAAATGCTTATAGTACACACTAAACGAGCAGGGGAGTGAGCAAGCGCCCAAAGGAAGAGGAGACCTCGGATGCTGCTCACTCACTTCCTCTTCAAGTCTAATAGATACAAGGCTGCCTGTATACTTAACCGAAGAGGACATTTTTCTATGAGCCTGTGTCTCAAAGAGGTGCCCTTCAGAATACAATGAAATAAAGCTTTTACTACTTAAAACTTGATTTTATAATTCAAAAACATACACTATGACAAAATCTGCTTTACACTTGTACAATAAAACAATGCAACTTTTCTGACTAGAGTTTTTATTACTCATTCAGTATAAAACATGAATTGCAATGAATTTAAATAAAAGCTGAACCATTTCCTTTTCCATCCTAGTATACCCCACTTTTTTCCGGGTTTGTATTTACAGCAGCCATTTTAATGTTAGAAGGCAGTGACATGGTTTTCTTTTCTGCACTACGCATGTACATTTTATTTTCAATCTCTATCATCCAACTCCAGATCACTGGCTCTCAGCTAAAAACTATACAATTGCTGAGCATTCTGAACTTCAAGCAGATTCACCTTGTGTGTACTTCAGCCAAAAGGAGTTGAATGCTGCCTTCAGAGATTTGTTACTACTCCTACAGGCGTTTGACGGTTTCTGGAACTTCAAATTTATTTGTTCAAAGCCCAGAATGGCAAGGTGCTGGATTATTTTTTGTGCAACCACAGATGGCTGTCAAATCATGATTTTTGTGTGAAGGAAATAAGTGGAGCACTTTCATCAGTAAAAACACTAATATGATTAAAGTCTTGCGACAAATTAAAAGAAAATATATTATAGCAAATAGTCATGTTGCAAAATTTATCCTAAACATGGTGAACTCATCATCCTTTTCAGCTGTTCCACTGGATTATCAGCTGAAAGAATTTTGAAATCTGAATTCATTCTTCCCCACCCCATCACAAGTCTTTTTGTAGCCTTAACAGTATACATCCTTATACTCTTCAACTGCTACACTTTTCCAAACATCTTGTGTGTATTCCTGAATTTCACTGTCCATCATGCGGAGCTGTGACTTCAGTTTTCCAGGTCCTAAGCTCCACTTTCTCTCCTGACATTTCTCTACCTGAACATCATCTCGTATGGCACAGTGCCAAATCTTGTTCAATAATGTTCACAAAGCATCTTTGACCACTTTACTATGCCACATAAATGCATTTTGTTTTGGAGGACTCAAGGTTTTTATTTGTTTACAAGATAGGAGTGTCTCTGACTAGGCTAGCATTTATTGTCCATCCCTAATTGCATTTGAGAAGGTGGAGAGCTGCCTTCTTGAAATGCTGCAGATCTCTTCACAGCTGTTAGTTTCCAAGTTTCGACCTAGTGACAGTGAAGGAACAGTGATATATTTCCAAGTCAAGATGGGGAGTGGCTTGGTGGGGAACTTGCAGGTGGTGTTGTTCAAGTATCTGCTACCTCTGTCCTTGATGGAAGTGGCCATGGGTT